TGCTGCTGCTGCTGCTGCTGCTGCTGTTGCTGCTGCTGCTGCTGCTGCTGCTGCTGCTGCTGCTGCAGTGTGATAGGAGAGGAGGCTGAGTCTCGTTTGGGTTCATCTATGAATTGTTGTATCGAGGGTTTAGGGTTTTGGTTATCTATAGAAACAAAAGAAGAAGCAGAAATATATTTTAAGGGTTTACCTTTTTGTTATAAACCTCTTCTTGTAGATACACCCCACGGACTTTCTCTTCTACTGAATACACCCCAAGGAGATAAACATGTAAACATAAACCCTAATAAACCCTAAACCCTAAAAAACCAGAAACCCTAATACACCCTAAACCCTAAACCCTAATACACCCTAAACCCTATTTTTCTATATAGATACACCCCAGGAACTCGCTCTTCTTCTGCATACACCCCAAGGAGATAAACATGTAACCCTAAACCCTAAACCCTAATAAACCCTAAACCCTAATAAACCCTAAACCCTAAACCCTAAATTTCAAATCCTTAAGACATTTCGCCTTAGAAACCCTTTACCCTTCCTCCCCCCTCCCCACTGTTTGTTTTAATTGTTTATTGTTTATTAGGGTTTAGGGTTTGATATTGTTCTCAGGGTTTAGGGTTTGGCAGGGTTTAGGGTTTAGGGTTTAGGGTTTAGGGTTTGTGTGTGTATGTATACAGCTACCTATAACAATAGCAATAGGCCACTACCTGCGTACTTTAATATCTTTTGTTTCTTCTTTTTCTGCTGCTGAGGGTTTACGTTCTTTATGTATATCTATAAGTAAAAACAAAGTTGCTGCTGCAGCAAGACAGCTAGCAGCAGCAGCAGCAGCAACAAAAATAATAAAAAATAATAAAAACCCTAATTTCTTTATTCTATCCAAAGCAGAAGCTCTCATCAACTGCTGGGCTGCTCGGCACCTTCCTGCTGCTTTCTATGACCTGCAGCAGCAGCAGCAGCAGCAGCAGCAGCAGCAGCAGCAGCAGCAGCAGCAGCAGCAGCAGCAGGAGCAGCAGCAGCAAGAAGAAGTAATATATATAGGTATTGTTGATGTAGGAAATATAGAAACAGTTATACAAATAATAAAATTAAAAAAAACAGAAAAAGAAGAAATACAGCCCCATCCACTTGCATGCGTTACCGATACACAAGTCGGAGTCTCTCAGGTATGCTGCTGCTGCTGCTGCTGCTGCTGCTGCTGTTGCTGCTGCTGCTGGTGTTGGTGGTGGTACTGCTGGTGGTGGTGGTGTTGGTGGTGCTGCTAGTGCTGCTGCTGCTGTTGCTGTTGGTGGTGGTGGTGGTGCTGCTGCTGCTGTTGGTGTTGGTGGTGGTGGTGCTGCTGCTGCTCCTGCTGCTGTTGCTGTTGGTGGTGGTGGTGGTGGTGTTGCTGCTGCTGCTGCTGCTGCTGCTGCTGCTGGCGGCGTTGCTGCTGTTGCTGCTGCTGCTGTTCGTGGTTGCTGCTGCTGCTACTACAACTGCTGCTACTGCAACTGCTGTTGCTGCTTATGCTGCTGCACTTGCTGCACCGCTGCTGCTGCTGCTGCTGCTGCTGCTGCTGCTGCTGCTGCTGCTGCTGCAGGCAATAACACTTGTTTGTGAATATGTTGCTGCTGAGATAAAAAAAAAATACAACGAAGAGATCCCTAGACACTCCAAAAAGGCTGCAAGGCTCTATGCTGCTGTAAACCCTAAACCCTAAACCCTAAACCCTAAACCCTAAACCCTCGTTGTCCCTCAGACATATTTATAACTTCACCAGCAATTTACAATCAACACTGATGCTGCTGTTGTTGTTGCTCCTGCTGCTGCTGCTGTTTCTCCTATTGCTGCTGCTGCTGTTGCTGCTGCTGTTGCTGCTGCTGTTGCTGCTGCTGTTGCTGCTTTAACTACTACTACTACTGTTTACTACAACTGCTGCACCTGCTACTGTT